GAAGGAAGGAAGGAAGGAAGGAAGGAAGGAAGGAAGGAAGGAAGGAAAGGAAAGAAGGAAGGAAGGAAGGAAGGAAAGAAGGAAGGAAGGAAGGAAGGAAGGAAGAAAGGAAGAAAGGAAGAAAGGGAAAGAGGGAGGGAGGGAAGAGGGAAGGAAGGAAACAAGAAAGGAGGAAGGAATGAAAGAAGGAAGAAAGGAAGGTCTACATAGAGACAGTGCTCAGTCAGGATTGTTCCACCAATCCTTTAATGCATCCATGGCTGAAACTCAGTCATTTCCTAGAGTTGGTATATGGTGCTCTGGTCTGACAAATATTGAGGTCATTTCTTTGTCTCAGTAATTAGTATTTGCCACTATTTCAATCAAAAAGCACTTAAGAAGTGCTCACTATGTCATAATCACAATTCACTGAATGTCCTGGCTGAAAAATAGACCATAATCAGTATTCAGAAAGTATAACATTGGGTTCGTTCTATTTCCAAATACGGAAAGTTGGGTTTAGAAGGTACCAGGATTAGCAGTGATCACAATATCAAACTCACCTGGTAGTGTGTAAACCAATCATTTTACAATGCCGTGGAGACCAATGTTGTCCCTGCTTCAAATTAATATTTGAATTGTAGATCACATTTATGATTACTCAAGTAGAGTCTTACTTCCAGCCTATGGATAAAGCCTGGAGAGAAATCTAGTGTCCACAATTATATAATTAAACTCGTAAAAACCAGAAAGAGAAGAAAACCTTTATATACTCCCACACCACATTCCATCATATGTGAAACTATGAAATAGAAATGTTCCTGACTTCATGTAGGCAAAGGAAATCACACAGCAGAATCTGTCAAGGGTTGAAAGATTCTGCTCAAATTCTATTTTTTTCCCATTGCCTATTGGGTGCTGTGAGAGGAGGAGGGGGAACACAGAAGAAGACAGTGTTTTCCATGTCAGGATGTTTGGCCAAGGGAGAAAAAAAATGCAAGAAGGGACCATAGAGGTCATCCAACCCAATCCCCTCATTTTACAGATGAGGAAACCAAGACCCAGAAAGGTCAAGTGATTTGCTCACAGCTATTAGTTGACTTTGAATCCAAATCCAGCGATCTATCCACTACGTCTTGGAAAATGTTACCAAGTTTGGCCATACACATGTTCTTTTTTTACCTTCAGAACTTTTTTGCTCATGAAATTCTCCCATCTTGGAAATTTGCTAATCTTTCCCCTCAAATTCTAGCCATCCTTCAAGGACAACCACAAACTCAACTTGTTGCACCAAGCTTTTCATCCACTATTCCCTACGTTGACCTCTTCCATCCCTAAATTCTGAATTACTATCAGTATCAAACAATTTCATTGTTTACTATAAACTTGTTCTCTAATTGTTTCATGCGTAAAAATATGTGGGCAATAGGAAACATGTCTCCCATGTTTATCTTGGAGGAGAGTAGACTCAAAGGGTTGTGTACATAGTAGGCACTTTGTAGATACCAGTGAATGCTGAGAATGCTGCTAACTCTTATTTTTCCCCCTTTTCAGATACCACTTGTGTAGAAAAGTGTCCTGATGGCTACTATACTGATATAGAAAATCACCGATGTTCTCCTTGCCATAGTTCTTGTGAGACGTGTGAAGGGAAGCATAGCACCCAATGTCAATCCTGCCACCCAGGCTGGTTCAGGCTAGAAAACAAATGTCTGCTAGCATGTGAGGAAGGGTAAGATTGTCTTACAAACTCAAGCTTGGCATTCAGGCTATCTGGCTCCAGCCTTCCTCTTCAGATTTATTTGATGCAAAGAATGCCTTTTAAACTTTTAAACCTAGAATTCCAGGGGATCGGGGCTAGACCTGGGATTTCATGAGTATAAGGAACCCCCTCTACCAATATGGGTCAACACCTTCTCTGTAACTATAGTCTTAAGAGAATTTCCCAGAGAGGGAAATTTAATTACTTGAGATACATTAATTAATTAATTCATTGATCACTTATATCCAAGGTCAAACAGTCAGAAATGGATCTTGAACACAGGTTTTCATGATTCTGAGGCCACCTCTTCATCCTGTATGCCACACTGTTTCTCTTTAGCATTCAAGTCTATCCAGAAGGAAGGAAACAGGCATTTATTAAGTTCCTACTATGTGGCAGGTATTGTGCTAAGCACTTTACAAATATTATATAATTTGATCCTTACAACAATGGTAGGAGGTAAGTGTTATTATCCCCATTTTACAGTTAAGGAAACTGAGGTAGAGATAAAATGACTTTCCCAGGATCACACGGCTAGTAAGTTTCTAAGACCAGATTGCTGGGCCATCTCCAGTCATCCTGATCCATATCTGACCACTGGAACCAAATGACTCTGGAGGAAAAAGTGAGGCTGGTGACTTTGCACAGCCCTCCCTCACTCAAATCCAATTTTTAATTGCAAGTCATGTCATCATCTCCCTGATGTCATGGTCCTCTTCGAGAATGAAGGACAAACCACAACCACTCAAGACCAGATTTGAATTCAGGTCTTCCTGATTTCAGGTCCAGAGTTCTATCCACTATACCACTGATTCTAAGAATGCTCTACAAACTCTTGAGCCTGATATTCAAGGCCATCCATAATTGGGCTCCAACTTTCTTTTATTTGATTGTACTCCCCTTAACACACTCTGCGTCCCAGCCAAATGAGACCACTAGTTATTTCCCCCATCTCATCTTGCCTTCTACCACCTATGTGTCATCACAAAGGCCATCCTTATCCCTTGAATGAGGCAGTTAGATGGCTCATTGGGTAGAGGGCTGGGCCTGGTGTCAGGAATGCCTGAGTTCAAATCTGGTCTCAGATACTTACCAGCTGCGTGACCCTGTACAAGTCGCTCAATCTCTATTTGCCTTAATCTATGGGAGAAGAAAATGGCAAACTATTCCAGTATCTTTGCCAAGAACCCCAAAAGGGGTTGCAAAAAGTCAGATACGACTGATCAGCTGAACAACAATTCCTGGAACACATTCCCTCACCATATGCAACCACTGGAATCTTTTCTACCCTTCACAACCCAGTTCAGTTGACATCTTGTCCATGAAGCCTTCCTCAATGGCACTTACCTTCCTTCTCATTTTTTACTCGAATACTTCAGATCTCCTACCTTATCACATTTTACCTTGTATCATACTTATCTATGTAATGTCATATCAACCACCCACCCAACACCCTATATTTTGTGCTCCTAGAGGACAGGGGCTACCCTACTCAGTACGTGTTGTTGTTCATTCATTTTTAGTTGTCCAACTCTTCATGACCCCAACTGGGTTCTTCTTGGCAGAGATACTTGGAGGGGTTTGCCATTTCCTTCTCCAGATCATTTTATAGATGACGAAACTGAGGCAAACAGGTTTAAATGACTTGCCTAGGCTCACACAGATAATAAGTATCTGAGGCCAGATTTGAACTCAGGAAGACGACTCCAGGCCCTGCACTTTATCCGCTGTGCCACTTAGCTGCCCCAATACATAACACAGTGTTTTCCATGTAGTATCAGGTTAGGAACTGTACCTGAGATTTCACTGCCATAGAGAAGTTCTGGAGGAGGAAATTCCCTCTACCAATGCAGGTTGGCATCTTCTCTGCAACTTGTAGCCTTAGTTACCTAGACTACTAAGAGGCTAAGTGACTTACCCAGGGTCACACAGGATCAGAGGAAGAATTTGCCCTCAGGTTTTCCTAGCTCTAAGGCCAGCTTTCTATCTATTATGCCACAACTCTCATCTTACACATAGGAAGGGTTTGATAAATGTTCATGGAATTGTGTTGAAGAGTTGGAGACAAATTTAAAAGAAAGTTTTACTGAACAAAGAGATTAAGTCCCTTAATCAATGAAGCAATCAACAAGTATTTATTAAACATCTATTCTGTGTAGCTAAGTGATAGAACAGGGAACCTAGAGCCAGGAAGACTGGAGGTCAAATCTAGTCTCAGACATTTAATAAATTGTTAGACCCTAGGCAAGTCACTTAACCTCTGTCTGCCTCAGTTTCCTCAACTGTAAATAGGGAGGGGGAAGAAGAGTGTAATGCTAGCACCTACCTCCCACAGTTGTTGTGAGGATTAAATGAGATCATATTTGTACATACTTTACAAATCTTGAATCCCTATATAAATGCCAACTGTAATTATGTGCCAGGCATTGTGCTAAATGCTGGTGTTACTAAGACAGAGGTGAAATATCCTTGGTAGGGGTGGGGGCTGGGGGGTGGAGGTGTTGGAACAAAACATAGTAGGAGTGGGCAACATGTACATATAAGTGTATATGAAATAGAAGGATAGGGACTGGAACTGGACTCGTGATCTCATGATCTCATGATTTCATTGCTATAGGGGACTATCAGTAAGGAAACTCCCTCTACCTCTAATACAGGCTGGCACCTTCGCTGTAACTTAATCTCTTAGAATTGCCTAGACTCATGGGGTGGGGAACCTGCAGCCTCGAGGCCACATGTGGCCCTCTAGGTCCTCAAGTGTGGCCCTTTGACTGAATCCAATATTTGTTCTATGAAGTTTGGATTCAGTCAAAGGGCCGCACATGAGGACCTGGAGGGCCACATGTGGCCTCGAGGCTGCAGGTTCTCCACCCCTGGTAAGGTTAAGTGACTTGCCCAGGCTCATACAACCAGTATATGTCAGAGGCAGGTCCTCTACGCCATATTGAAAGCAGGTCCACTACACCATTTTTGCCTCTCATACAAAATACATACAAAATAAATAACAAGTAATTTGGGGTGGGGAGTTATAATCCTTGTGTGGCCCTTTCTTTCATCATTCTTACCATGTATTTGGCCATTCTTTTTAATCACTGTACTTTTCAAACATATTTGATAATTGACTTGCCTTGATTGACTGACTTAAGAGGGCCCTCAACCACCTATGCAGAATGAAAAGATGATTCCCCTTGTCTAAGTCCTCTAGGAGCTTAATGTTATTGCCTAAGTGGTATTAGTAGGGTCTGAGTGGGGCAGCTTGTGCAATATATCTATGTAATAAATTGAGAAATACCTAGACACAGACTTGGGTTGTAAGAATATTCCCTTTCATCTTGACTATTAAGAAGGGAACGCTAAACTGAAAATTGGTCTGAGCTGGTATTTTTGTCATATTTGAAATCTGGCATGAACCCTCCTCTTTCCAAAATAGTTTAAGTGCATATTCCTGCCAGAACTAAGAAAGAACAACTAGGACTTTATCTGGGGCACTGGAATTCAAGATTGTAAAAATATAATATGTACCCTGCTTCACAAGCTAGAAGCCACTAGATAACTAATCTCCCCTCCCACTCAGCTGAATTAACTTAATTGTCATATTAATTTCATATAATTAATTAAAGTTGACTTGAGGGGTATTTGCCCATTTTGTGCTGATCGATCCAGCTGGAGACTTTTTTCATGTTGTTTGTCCAAGACTGGGCTTTGTGCTCTACATGCCAACATTATTAGTTACGCCTGTGCCCTCAAGACTGAGAGAAAAACTAGATGATCTCTTGAGGCCTCTTCTAGCTAATAATCCCCCTCCTCTCATGTTACCTAAAAAATTACATTGGTACCCCATCAAAAAATACAATTGTTTCCAAGTTCAGATGGTGGGTTAGCATTAAACTAAATTTGCAGTTGTTTGTGAGAGTCTTAAAAATACATTTTTGTTGCTGTTTCATCAAAACCCATCTGTTAATGTTGAAACCCTCATCCTCTATAACGTCCTCACCCATTTGGAGAGGATTTGATTGTGTAATAATTAGAAAAATAACTCAGCCGCCCATTCACAATTTTCTCCATTTCCTTTTTCACTTCTACTGTGGCTCAAGGCCAGAGTTTGAAATGGAGAATCTGTTGGTCGGATTAAGTTCTGTCAGGAGAATGAAAGAAATGAAACTGAAAGGACTAGCTACCAAAACGTTCACAAGAGGGAAAACTTCTTAATCAGGAAATGGGAAAATGCAGTCTTTTAGGTGAAAATTGAACTACTCCCTACCACTGGGAAAACAGCAACAAAAAAAGATATGAAAATAGAATTGATTAAGTTGTGACAAAGAGGAAAAAAATGAATATTCCATTTAGCCATGGAGTTTCTTTGAAAGTCGTTTTTGCCTTCATTTCAGATATTATGCAGATAATTCCAGTGGACTATGTGAAAAATGCAACGAGGACTGCAGAGAGTGCTGGGGCCCTCGCTCCACAAACTGTTTGTCTTGTAACAAGTATTTCTTCCTGATTCACTCTAAAGGAGAATGTCATCGCATCTGCCCTGAACACTACTACATAGAAAACAGGACACATACCTGTGAGAGATGTCATCCGACCTGTAATGAGTGCAAAGGTGAGCAAGATGGTCTCACAGTGGAATTTATCATATGGCCATGCAAGTTGTTAGCCAGACTTCTTGTCACGCCCTGTATCAAATCCAAACTTCTGTAGCTAGCCAGTCAACTAGCTTTTATTAAGCACCTACTATGTACCAGGTACTCAGCTAAATGCTGGAGATAAAAAGGCAAAAGGCAATCCCTCCTTTTAAGGAGCTCTCAGTCTAATGGGGGAGACAACAAGCAAACTATATACAAAGAAGATTGTTGTTTGTCCTTTGTTCTTGAAGAGGACCATGACATTAGGAAGGTGATGTCATGGCTTGCAAGTGAGTTGGATTTAAGTAAGGGAAGGCTGTGCAAAGTCACCAGCCTCATTTTCTCCTCCAGAGTCATCTGGGTCCAGTGTCATGATATCGATCAGGATGACTAGAGATGGCCCGGGATGCAGTGGGAGACCTTGGCCTTTTTAAGCTAAGATCTTTCCCACGTCTCAGATACAAACAAGATAAATATTGGTGAATTGGTGATAATCAACCGAGGGAAGGCACTCACATTAAGGGGGATTAGGAAAGGCTCTTGCAGAAAGTGGGACTTTAGCTGAGACTTGAAGGAAGCCAGAGGAGCCTGGAGGTAGAGATAAGGAGGGAGAGCATTCCAGGCATGGAGGACAGCCAGCAAAAACTGGCTGGGAGGTGGAATGTCATGTGCCCAGATGAGGGACAGCAAAGTGACCAGTGTCACTGCGTCTCAGAGTACATATTTAAGGTATAAGAAGACTGGAAGAGTAGGAGGGAGCCCAGGTGATGAAGGGCTTTGAAAGCCAAACAGAAGATTTTATTCTTGATACTGGTGGTAACAGGGAGCTATCAGAGTTTACTGAATCGTAGTGATAGGGTGACTAAATAGTGGAAAGAACTTCTGACTGAATCAGAAGACCTGGGTTCTAGTTCCCACTCCTCTACTAACTGATCATGTGACTTAGCCAAGTCACAGCCCCTCTTCAGGAGGATTTCTTTATCCATAAAGTGAGGGTGCTGGACTGGATCATCTCTGAGGTACCTTCCAATTCTGACGTTCTAGCAATGTTTCTGTGAGCTGCCAGCTTTTGTAGGCCCTTCACCATCAAGCCCACCCACCCTCATTTCTCATTACTCTCATCGTGACAGGAGGTATGGTCTAGTGAAAAATGTGCTAGACTTGGGGTCAGGTCTTTTTGATTCTGGCTTCTGAGATATTTACTAGTTGGGGGAGCATCATCACCTCACTGTCCCTTAAATTCACTATGAAAAATTCTGGACTTGGATTTAGGAGACCTGGGTTCAAATCCTGCTTCTGATACTTGCTAGGTGTGTGACCATTGGCAAGTCACTTGAACTCTGAGTCTCAGTTTCTGTATCTGTAAAATCATCATAATAATACTTAGGCCAACATTTTTAGGGTCTCCCTACATTTTTGGGCTCTGAATGAGGAATTCCATTTTGTATAAAATGTATGTAGTTCATTAAAGTGTTCATGAGGATTTTTTGCATTTATTTGTACTTACGTATTCTTTGGGGGGCAAATGTATAATGATTTGTAAGATAAATTGTCTACTATAATGAAAAAAAATAATACTTAGGCTACCAACCTCAATGGTTCACATCAGGATAAGTGCTTTGTAAAACTTAAAGCACCATATAAATGGGAATTAGCATTATTAACAATAGTAATATTTTACATTTAAATAGTACTTTAAATCTCCCATTTAGTATCTAATTTCCTGCTGCTAAATTTTTGTACTCACTTATTCTCTCACCTTAGAATATCCTCTTCCCTCCTTGGCTTTTCAAATTCTGCCAATCTTTCGAGACTCTCGCGTCCCTCTACTTCCAGGGAATCTTCTTCAATTATTCTTTTATTTATTAATTATTATCATTAATTTTCCTTCCACATTTATCCTTCCCTCCCTCCCTCTTCTGAACATCTATTAAGCTAGTTAACAGGGGCAGCTAGGTGGTGCAGTGGTTAGAGCAGTGGCCCTGAAGTCAGGAAAACTTGAGTTCAAATCTAGCCTCAGACCACACACTCGACACTTACAAGCTATGTGACCTTGGGCAAGTCGCTTAACCCCAATTGCCTAAAAAAAAAGAAGTTAGTTAACATAATGAAATTTAGCTGTTACTCATTGTCCAGCTGTTTCACATGTATTAATTTCGTCTCCCCCGTTAGTTAGAACTCTTCGAGGACAAACATTACATCTTAAACAACTTCTCTATCCCTTTTAGCATCCAGCACAATACCTTCTACATAGTAGTTGATTCTCATAAGCAACAAATCACAATCGAACACTTACTGGGTTCTCTGTTCCAGATACTCCAGTGGGTACTAAACATGCACAGTCTGCTCTCAACAAGATTCTAATCTACTCCAGGAGGCAAGCCTTCCTTCTGAGATTACCTCCAATTTACTTTGTCGGTATCTTGTATGTAAATAGTGGTTTACATGTTATCTTCCTCATAATGAGAGGTTTTTGAGGGCCGGGACCATTTTTGTCTTCTTTTTTTTTTTTTTTTACCACAGTGCCTGTTACATAATGAGAGCTTATTAAATAATGGTTGGCTTGCATTGACTTGATAAAGAAATGAATAACACAAAACAACAAACATACATACATACCTGGAATCCCACCAAGACCTGATCAATTTACTAATTTAAGGCTAATGTAGTCAACTATCCCTTGTTTCCCTGCAAAAAAAGATAGTTAGCATTAAATAAGCAGGTGCTAGATGAGCAAATTTAGAGAAGCCACTCCAAATGTTCATATGGACTATTTGTGCATGACCTGTGGTAGAGCATTCCAAGCTTGAGTTGATTTAATAAGCCACAGTAGGATGCATTGTACTTTGACTCTAACATAGTGATGTCATTTTGGTCCTCTTCGAGAACAAAGGACAACCACCACCACCAAACAGGTATAGCAATAGCTTCTCACCCTTGTCACGTCCTTCACCTGTTCCTACTAAGCATTTGCAGGCAGCAAATCACCTGGCTTGTAACTATCTTCTAATTTCTTAGGATTTTGTGATGTGAGTGTGTGTTTCCAGCATTAAATCAGATCTGGCAAGAGTCTTAGATCTTGATCATCTGAAATTACATCCAAATCCCTCTCCGCTAATCCCAAGGCCTTATTAGATACCTGAAACTTTAAAATGAAATGGAACAGGAAGTCTTTGAAAAGGCTGCCCTTGGAGAATTCATTTTTCATCTTTCTTCAAACTCACCTTGGAGCTGCTCTAAGCACAGAGCACGGGACTGTCTTGAAAGGGCAGCGTTATGGGGAGAGGAGAACATAGGAAGAAATCAGCATTGATTGCATCATGTAATAAAGAGGTTGTCAGCCAGTCAGCATTAGAGTGGACTGATGTTTTCATCCCACATAGTTTAGCCAAGTGGTGGGTTGTTGTCCTTCATTCTTGAAGAGGATCAAAATGACATCACTATGCCAGAGTCAAGCTACAGTGTGTCTGATTGTGGCTGATCGGACCAATACAAGCTCAGAATGCTCTGTCATAGATCAGGCACAATTAGTCCATGTGAACATTTGCGGTAGATTTTCTAAATTGTGCATCTCACATTTCTTTTGAGCTACTTCAATTCTGCTTTGCTCATAGAGCACAGCACCTTCTCTGATGAGGGCATGCCATGCTGGGCGGTCCTGTGCCGGTGTCTCCCATGTTACACAATCAATTCCAAAGTTCTTACGTGAGACCTTGAGAGTGTCCTCGTATCACTTCTTCTGACCACCATGCCTGTGTTGAAAAAAAAAAAAAAAAGCTCAGCCAAGTATAGTACACTCTAACCTGAGTTCACCTGAATCTGTAAAGGAATCCAGGCCTTGTGTCAGACTTGGGGAGGTGTCAGAGCTGACACTTCCTCAAACATCAAATGCAAGTGAAAAGAGCCACATCTGGCGATGAAATTCACATTTGCATTCATAGGCTTATACCTATGTTCTTCCCAAAGAGAACATATCACTTTCTGGGAAGAAAGGGTTAGGGCAATTGGACTGTTACTTAGTGGCAACCTAGAAACAGTGATTTGTGAATCAGTGTCTTAAGAAAAGGCATTCTCGGGGCAGCTAGGTGGCCCAGTGGATAAAGCACCGGCCCTGGAGTGAGGAGGCCCTGAGTTCAAATATGACCTCAGACACTTGATACTTACTGTGTGACCCGGGGCAAGTCACTTAACCCCAATTGCCTCACCAAAAAAGAATTAGATAAAAAAGAAAAGAAAATGCATTCTCCTCAGAACTGGCAGGGAGGTTATTGTCTCTATCTTTCAATTCAGCAGTTTTCTTCAAAGCAGCTATTATGTGCCTGGCATTGTGCTAGGGACTGGGCACACCAAGACAAAAATAAAACCATCTCTGCCATCAAGGAGTTTACGTTCTGCTGGAATGAAACACAGCATGATCTAGATAGATAGATAGATAGATAGATAGATAGATAGATAGATAGATAGATAGATAGATAGATAGATAGATAAAGGCATTTATTAAATGCTTACTATGTGCTAGGCAATGTACTAGTGAAACATGTGCTTAGCTGGCCATTAGAAAACCTGGGTTCCAATTAAGGCACTGCCACTGATGAACTTCAAGGTAAGTGCCATGTCCCTTTAATTCTTAGCTATGTGACTTCAGCTGTCATTTAGCTCTTCTATGCATCAACTTTCCCAAATGTAATGTAATAAATGAAATAAAGAGGTTGTCAGCAGGTTGTAACATGCACTGTGCTAAGGGCTGAAGATACGAAGAAAGGCAAAAATGGTCCCATTTTTGAGGATAATAGTTCAGTTTAACAAACATTGATTAAAGATCATTCCTGGGGCAGCTAGGTGGCACGGTGGATAGAGCACCGGCCCTGAAGTCAGGAGGACCTGAGTTCAAATCCGGCCTCAGACCAAACACTTGACACTTACTAGCTGTGTGACCCTGGGCAAGTCACTTAACCCCGATTGCCTAAAAATAAAAAATAGATGTCCTCACTAAGTTTGGCAATAGTATGTTGAGCCCACAGAATCAGAGGGCCACCAGGCTGCCTAAGGATGAGGGAACCTTTCAGCCCAGGTGGGAAACAGAACAGGCCAAAGCTTCCCTGCCAATTAGCAGTGAGATAGAGTCCATGAGTGGCTATCTACTTCCAGCTTAGATGAGATAGGGAGACTAAGTCTCCAAAAAAAAAAAAAAAAAAAAGAAGTTTAAGCAGTCTTCAGAATGAAGGTGAAAAGAAAAAGAATCAAAGTGATGGATCATTTCTAAGTCCAGATACTACAATGATATTGCTGAATTTTGGAAGAAACAATCATTCAGAATAAAATTTGAATTTAGACCACAGGACAATCTGATGGGACCAGTGCAGCCCCAAATTTATCACAGAATTTTGAATGTGATAGAGGGACCTCAGAGCTCATCTACCCCAACTCATATCAAATTAATTCCCCCCATAATATACACGGCAAGTTTTGATCTTCGAGCCTTTGCTTAAATACTTCCTATGAGAAGGAACCCACTTGTCCCATTTTTGAAAAGCTCTAATGGACAGGAAGGATTTCCTGACATCAAGTCTAGATTTTTCCGCTCACTGCTCCTAGTTTCACTTAATGGAGCCAAATAGAACAGATCTAATCCCTCTTCCATGTAATTACCCTTGAAATACTTTTCAAATAGCAGGCACTGCTCCTTAATTCTTCTCTTCTCCAGGCTGAGCATGAATGGACTGTACCCAAAAACCTTTTGGCAAGTTGGCCATTTGAAACACAGCACAGAGATAATGCTGTAAGCTATGGTTAGGTTCCCAGGCGAGTCTACAAAAGTCTATTTAACACATGATAAGACTAAGAGTACTATTTTACCTGCATCAGACCATGCTTGATTGCACTGTGACTATGAGAAAAGGCGTTTCAAATTCTAAATGCAAGATGTCAAGAATATACTCCCCCAGCATTTCTGGCAGTGATTTCCCACATCAAAGGAAGAGGTGGGGTGTTCTGTTTCAGGAGGGCAGAGTAGACACACCCAGGGAACAATAACTCTGCATACTTATTTCAGTCCTTTGATAGATCAAAGATCCATGATTTGATCTATATGGGTAATCTCTCCACTGATTTAGATCTATGTCTCTCCCTAACATTGTATGTACTTAAATGAATGAGTAGCCATGAATTCTGTAACCAAAAAAAGCTGCCTATTCAAAAAAAAAAAAAAGGCACCTTCATGCATTATCATAGATTCACAGACCTAGAACAGGAAAGGACCTTTAGAAATCATCTAATCAAAACTCTTTGTTTTACAGAGTAAGAAACTGAGGCCCAGAGATTAAGATTTGCCCAACATTACACAGGTAGCGGTAAAGGAAACCTCTGAACTCAGGTCTTCTGTGTCAATATTCAGGCGTCTTTTTTTAAATTGTTACAGTCTTAATAAGAGAGCCAAAGAATGAGAAATCCAAAAGGGGCCTGAGATGAATAGTCCAGTGCCTTCATTTTCAGTAAGAGAAAACTAAGGCCCAGAGAAATTAAGCAATTTGTCCAAAGTGAAGGAAGGAATTAATGACAGAGCTAAGACTAGAACTCATATGTACTGTCACCCAATATGATAATCTCCAGATAACAACTTTCTACATGTATGTAAAAGAAGGTACAGTTTGGAAAAAAAAAAAAGAATTCTTTTTTTAAATTTTAATTTTAAATTCTTTTTGTGATTTGGACTGATCTACTTTTGTAGTTTATTGATTACTAACTAGGAATTCTTTAGGTAAATGACTTTCCATGTGTTCTAAATTGGGGAGGAGGGGAGGACATTGGTCTTCATTGCTGTGGTGGGGTAAGGACAGTAAATGAGAACTCCAAATCCACAACCATTTGTAGGAAAATAAGAAGCGTGTTAGTTAGGTGAGTAAAGGCTACTTGCTTCTAATACTGCCATTTGGTTTCATTATAACATCTCCTCTCCTAACATCAGGCTCAATATCAAATAGATGCCAGGGTTGGGGGGGAGGGGAAGGTGTGTCCTTATTTCCATTACATATACACACACATATACACACACACACACACACACACACACACTTATTTATTTAAAAAATTTCCCTTTAACTATAGTCTAATAATTTTGGGCCCCCAAAGCCTGAATTTCCCATTTTGGTGGTCTATATGGATCGCCTTTATTTCTACTTTATTTTTTTATTTTACTTTGGGTGATGTAGACACAGACCTTATGTTCTATACCTTTGTGAGGGACTGTCTGATGTTGGCTACTGCCAAGTAGCGGTTGTGGCAAGATGGGGTAGGAACTGGGTATTAGGAAGTAACCGGAGCTCATGCTCCCGAGGCAGGGGCTGTGCTGGGAGGAGTTGTGGTGAACTGGGATGGACTGGATACTGAGAAGTAACCAGAGCTCACGCTCCTGAGGCAGTGGGCAGTGCTATTGGAGCTGTGATAGCTGGGGAAGGAACAGAATACAAGGAAGTAGCCAGAGCACGTGCTCCTGAGGCAGGGGGCTGTGCCACGTGGGAGTGGGACAGCAGAGGACGAGTTCCCTTTGCTTAGTCCCCTCCCTAAATGCAACGTCAACCCCAGACGCCTCCTTCCTGTGTCCTTCCTGACTTCCTAGGTCACGTGTTCTCTCTTTGTCTATGCACTAATCCCAGACGCCTCCTTCCTGTATCGGGTCTTAGCCTCCTGCGTCACTTCCTCTCCCTTGGTGCGCTAAACTCAGACATCCCCTTCCAGTATCTGATCCTACAATCATTGACTAGTAGGTGGGCTGAGGAGGAGGGGCTAAGTAGGTACTTAAGGAAAGGTCGTGGTCAGAGCTCGCTCTCTCTTTGCTCCTGCTCTCTTGCTATGGCCTTCCTGCTTGGCCTTGCTGTGATGGCCTCTGAATAAAGCTCGGGTGTTGGCACCTCTTGATGGGCTCGTCTCTGTGTGTTTATCTGGGTAGGCTCCGAAGACTGGTAAGTAGTATGACTCTGGCAGCCTGCTCCTTATAGGAGGAGAGTGCACAGCATGATCGGCACATACCTTCATTCTGCTTCTCCATTATACTCAATTTAACTTGACACAGTACCTCAAAGATTACTGGATTTGGAGTCAGAAAACCTGTGTAACCTTGGACACTTAACCTCTCTGGTTCTGTTTCTTCTTCTATGAAATAAAGGAGTTGGACAAGAAGATCTCAGAGGTCCTGCCCTGCTCTATACTCTATGATTCTCAAAGTCTGATAGATATTTTTATAACCAAAGACATGAATGGATATATTGACAAGCAAGTCTTTTTTTTTTTCTTTTCTTTTAGGAAAGGGACCCTTGAACTGCTTATCTTGCATGTGGAGCTACCATCTCTTAGGAGGAATCTGCAGCTCAGATTGTCTTACAGGAGAATACAGAGTAGGCGAGGTATTTCATATTCTGAATTGTTTGGCTTTTTCCATACTTTTGGTAGTAAGATGCAAGAGACCCTGCAGGGGCAGCTAGGTGGCACAATGGATGGAGCACCAGTCATAGAGTCAGGAGGACATGAGTTTAAATTTGGCCTCAGACTCTTACTAGCTGTGTGACCCTGGGCAAGTCACTTAATACTGATTGCCTCCAAAAAGAGAAAGAGAGACCTTGCTAAGTCCTATGCCATAGTATTTTGAACTGTGCTGTGATTTCATTACTTTAGGCAACTTTCAGAAAGGAAACTCCCTTTACCCATGCAGATCAGGACCTTGTCTGGGGCAATGAGAGTTTAAGTAACTTGCACAAGATCACATGGACAGTATGTGCCAGAGCAGGGTTGGGGAACCTGTGACCCTGGAGGCCACATGTGGCCTTCTAGGTCCTCGAGTACAGCCTTTTGACTGAGTCCAAGTTTTACAGAACAAATCCTTTTATTAAGGGGATCTGTTCTGTGAAGTTTGGATTCAGTCAAAGGGCTGCACTTGAGGACCTAGAGGGTCACATGTGGCCTCCAGGCTGCAGGTTCTCTATCCCTGTGTCAGAGGAAGGACTTAAACCCAACTCTTCCCGACTCCAAGGCTTTCTCTCTCTTCATTTCACTGTCCTGTCTCAGAAGAAAGTCAAGGAAATGTTGCATTGGAACAGGAAGAGTGGGTTGTGATGGTAACATTGTCAGGGTCCCTTGCCCTCTGACTGAACAGGTCCCATAATCTCTGATCAAGACATTCCTAACAGACAGGGAAAGGCTTGGGAAATGTTGTCAAGGACAATACTGCAACCATTGGAGACCTTGTGACACAAATTTATAAATACCCCAAACCTTCAGTGTCTGTCTCTGGGTATACGAACAGCTCTCAGCATGGCCTGACTTCTCTAGGAGCACACACAATAAAGAAAGACACAGAAACGCATGAAAAAAGCCAGTTAGGAATAACGGATAATCCCCTGATCTGCCACAGAGTTCATTGGGTCTCCCTCTCCATTTCTTTCCATGAAAGATAGCTCTGAAACATCAGATTAACGAAAACATAGCCAAAATTTCTGGTTCTCCTAGCTTTTATCTGCTGCTTGAAGAAAACAGAGACTAGTAAAATTGAAACAAAATTGAATTGGAAGCAACCATAGAGTGAATGAGAGAGAAGCTGATTGATGTCATTTTCTGGCCTATTGTATACATTGCTACCTCCTTGTCCCTATAGCTCAGATGCCTTGACTTTGTAGTTGTGATAACAGAGCCCAATACTGCTCTTTAGATTTTGTGATGAGCTGTGATAGAATTACTGAATTACCAGGGGATTCAGGCTCTACCATTCACCATCTGGCACCCTATGCGACCTCAGACAAGTCAGTTAACCTCTTTGGTTAACTTTGAACATGAAGAATCGTATTATTTAATCATCCAGGTCCCTTCCCAGCTCCAACCTTACATGGTTTTATGAATTAACAAGCCTAAGTCCTCCATTAAGGGCCCTTCAGTGAATTCCTCCTCACTCCCCACCCCTGGCCCCATGCATTTAAAAAAAAATTGAATTTCTTGGTGGTTATTTTCAGGGAGAAAATTTTGAATGTGATAAATGCCATGAGAGCTGTATTGAGTGCAAGGGCCCAGGCCCTCAAAACTGCACCATGTGCCCAGCTAATATGATGCTGTATGAAGAGGATGGTCGCTGCATCCCCTGCTGCAGCTCAAATTTTACAGATGTTCAGGATTGCTGTGACTGCCAAGAGACCACAGGTGAGTATAAGAAAGCACACAATATGGGTAGTTATAGAAAAGTCCACTGGTCGGGATAAGGAGGAGGGATGGACAGGGAAGAGATGGTAATGATTTCCTTGACTAAAGACTTCATTTGATGTTTCTTTTTTTGTCCCTTTGTTCTCTTCAGGGGGTGATGTCAACATAGTCTTAGTGTTGGGATGTTGTTATTTAATCATTTTCGCTCATGTCTGACTCTTCACGACTCTTTCTGGAGTTTTTTCGGCAAAGACACTGGAGTGGTTTGCTATTTCCTTCTCCAGCTCATTTTGCAGAGGAGGAAACTGAGGCAAACAGGATTAAGTGACTTGCCAAGGGTCATACAGCCAGTGAATGTCTGAGGAGGATTTAAACTCAGGTCTTCCTGACTCCATAGCCAGGGCTCTATCTACTGTGTTACCTAACTGCCATTGTTGACATAGGGCTACATAGGAAGAAACCTTGCCCCTCAGTACTTACCCCTTCCTCCCCAAGCCACCGCCATTCCTCATATATGGTATGGCCTACATTGCCCTGACCCATATAGTTTCTTAATAACACAATTAATATAAAAACCAAACTCCAAAATGCCACAAACCTACTGTGAAATCCTTTACTGATTGCCTGTGGTGTTGTTCCTATGTAATAAATTGAGTTGTTTTCCCTGGTCATGTTTTTAATGGAACTAATTAATGATGTCAATGGATGACGTCAAGAGGAGCCCAGGGAGAAAAGTCTAACCTTGAAGTCAGAAAGTCTTGTGTTGAGTGACTGACACATACTAGCTGTGTGACCCTGGGCAAGTCACCTAACTTCTCAGTACCCTCAAGCAACTCAGACCATAGATTACAGGAAAACTGCAGATCTTTATCTGCACAGGAAATTTCAACACTGTGAATTCCTTCCACTCTTGAAATCACAGATCCATTTGTGGTTTGTTTGTGATAGATGCTTGTATATACTTTAAAAGCCCCCAAACCCACAACCAATCTACCAGAACCTGTCTTTAATCTTTGACTATGCCCCTATCAACTAAATGTTCAGGAAGGCCTCAAGTGGCATTTCTCCTACCAACAGACTGTAGCAAATGTATCCCTGCCAACCATCACCCTACTTGGGCTTCTGGTTTACCGACGGTGAGTGGAATAGTCTTTGCAGATGTTTTTGTACATTTTTTTGTGTTTTGACCGCGGGGTGCCATCCCACCTGCCTCCGTAATCGGGCCAGGGTTGGGTAAGCAGACAATTTTTAAGCCACCTTTTCTAGCCCCTTCCTCACACCAAGAGGCTATTGTACACCCAAAATACTTGTTAAATTTGTGCCATTGGAACATAAGGACAATTTAAGGTGAGGCTTATATTAATTATCCTTTCATATACCAAACAGTCTGTCTCTTATGTCCACATCTTTGCACAGGCTGCCCCAGTGTCTGGAATGCATTCCCTCCCTGGGATACCTTGGGAAGCGAGGAGAGGTTCCTGGCTCCCTCAATTATCAGTACTCTCTCTCACTCAAAATTACATTTATACTTTCTTTTTATTTATGAAGTCTCTAATCCTTTCAGTGTACCAGGCTGAGGAGGTGCTGACCTACATCAACAAAGGGAGTTTCCTCCTATCGCAGTGAAATCCCAGTCTTGTCCCTTTTCCTATCTCAATCTCTTGCATTTGCTTCTGACTGCATCTTGAATTCCTGCCCCACCCCCACCCCCAAAGAACAAGCTAATCTCTAAGAGGGTTTGGAATGGTTTTGTTTTGTATTTGCTTGGAATGTACTTTGTTTTGTTTTGTTTTATATTTGTTTTGTATCTTAGCGTAAAACCTTACTCATTGAGAGGGCTTAATAAAAATTTGTTGAATTGAATGGGATGCAGTAACTGCTATCAGTCTTGTCAACAGCGCCCATATGCAGTTGCAAACACTAATCATTTCTTATTCTCTTTTCACTTCTCCAATTTCCTGCCAACTTCCCTAACCCCACTGCTAATGACAGATGGTTTCCTCAGCTACTCAAGCACATAAATCTACCTGGAGACCTGACTGCCCTTATATCTTTGGTGTGTCCATTAAGAATAATTGCCCTTATAATGCCCCTGAGGAACCAGGAACTAAGGCCTTTGATTGCCATATGTCAGTGAATACTTGCCAGATAAGAGCTCGATTTTTATTACTAGCATCATGCAGAACTTCAGCAAGCTTTGTGGGGCTACTCTATGGGATCCTACCGAATTTCTATTAACCACTAGTACTACTTTACCAAGACACTCAACCTTGATACAGTGTACTTTGGGATGAATTTCAAGGCAATTTGTGGCAACCTCATTTCATTCCTAAGGTTAGGGTGGTCCCCTAAGAGAAATTGACTAACAAGGGACTTAAAAAAAAATCATTAAAGCACTTGGGAAGCCCAAATCCCTGAGGCTTTAAGAGTGATGAAAAATAACGACCAGATGCCTTCTTGGCGTCACAGAAACTAACAGTAGATAATGACTGACAGTCAATACAAAGTTACTGCTGCTGAAAAATATGATGATTATTATTTTAAGAAGACAATGGGAGGTGGCTGTGTCCTAGCAGTTTTGTATTTTCAAGGCTGAGATTTAAGTCCTGGCCTGAAAAAGCTAGACCTTCAAAAACCAAATGAGTTGAATGTGTAATGCTCTTTGCAAACCTACAATCTTTCTTAAAATAGTCAGATCTTAGCAGCTGCACTAAGAGGAGAAAGGGCTGACGAGGTTTGGCTAAAAAACAGTTGATGTGAAAAAATACTTCTAATTTAAATTTTATTAAGTACCTACTATGTGTTAGGCACATCTAGCTGGATCAGCTAGTTGGCTTAGTGAAGAGAGCACTGGGCATGGAGTTAGGAAGACCTAAGTTCAAATCCAACCTTAGCCACTTACACAAGTCACTTAACCTCTATTTGCCTAGGAGGTAGCTAGGTGGCTCAGTGGAAAAAGCACTGGGCCTAGAGTAAAGAAGACCTGAGTTCAAATCTAGTCTCAGACATACCAGCTGTGTGACCCTGGGCATGTTGCTTAACCTTGGTTTGCTTTAATTCACTGGAGAAGGAAATATAAAACCACTCCAGCATCTTTGACAAGAAACTCCCATGGACATTAGGGTCCATGGGGTCACAAGGAGTCACACACAACCGAACAACAAATGTGTCAGGCACTATACTAAGTGCTTTACAAATATTATCTTATTTGATCCTTACAATAACCCTGGGATGTAAATGTTATCAGTATCCCCATTTTACAGATGAGGAAACTGAGGCAGATAGGGGTTAAACTTGTCCAGGGGCACACAATTAAGTGGCTGAGGTCAAATTTGAACTCAGATCTTCCTGACAAGTCCAGGCTCTATATACTGTACCACATAGCTTCAGGTATATTAGGTTACTTCAAACTCATTATATCAACTGAATGACCTAACAGCCAGAAACCACCTTAGATATTTAGCAGCATTATTAAAATTATAAATGAGCTTGTTTTGATGTCTTTTTTTAAAAATCATCATAATTTCTCCAAGTATCCCTCCCCCTCTCCTTCCCAGAGAATAGTTCTTTTCTCTATCACGTATCAGTCCACTTCACTTAGATGACTATCCCCATTTTAGGAATAAAGATGAGGTCCCCACAAATCACCTGGCAACTGACTCCAAATTACCACCTCCTAGGTTATAGAAAAACAAAGATTTGTCTTTTGTTATCTCCTATTCTTCCCTTAGTTACGTGTGGTAGTTTACATGCATCTAAGAATGAGGAATAAGGAAATAAACCTTTGTTGACTGACTAGCCCTTCATTTCTGAAAATTATGAGGACAGCAGAAACAAAATTTTAAAATATAACTCTTATCCCCACCCTGAGTCATGATTTAAGTCTTTCTTACTTGAACAGAATATGAAAGAAGACTACATTGTGGATGGCTTTATAGGCCAAGAAAGCAAGAGTTAGGAACATGAATAGACTTTTCCAATATTTCCCACGGGGGAAGGAGAATTTGGGAGACGGATACGGGGGACCATTTGGAAGTCATTTGGAGTTGACCCCAAATGATATGGGGTATCAGGAGGATCCTTGTGGCCCCCTTTGTCCTGGAAATCCTTGTCCAGATATATAAAATTTAATTCTTTAGGCATCCAGAGGTGCTTCCTCCATGGGAACTAGAGTAACATTTAGTGATTCTAGCATTTGGAATACAATTTCCAAACAGCTAACTTCCAAAACTTATTCTCTCCCCCTTTCTTCCTTTCTTGCTTTCTTTTGATTCTATCATCTTCTAGAGGAGTGCAGCTTTCGAGATGGTATGATTATTCCCAAGACTGAGAAGTCGAAGAAGACTGGTCTGCTCATCACTTCCTCCATCATGCTGATCCTCCTCTTTGGGGTCACAATCTATGTTTGGAAGAGGTCCCGGGCCAAATCCCAAAAAGCTCACAAGGCTGGATATGAGAAACTCTCATACCAAAAAAAGTCTTCCTCTTCCTATAAAAGCAGCTTTCGAGAGAGCACCAACTTCCAAGAGGACCAAGTTATTGAATACAGAGACCGGGACTATGATGAAGATGAAGATGATGACATTGTCTACATGGGTCAAGATGGCACAGTCTATCGGAAATTTAAGTATGGTCTCCTGGATGATGATGATGAAGATGAGTTGGAATATGATGATGAGAGCTACTCATTTAAGTAAATTCAAATATATTGATAGGATTACTTTTCCACTCCTAATTATTAACTTTGGGGAGTATTTTTTTGCTGGCAAACCCAGCTCAGGCTTTGTGGACATCCTTAAATGTTTTTCTATTCCTCCAGGTATTTAAGCTCAGGTATCACTCCAAATTCACTCAGAATCCAAGAGAAAGGCAAAGATGAATAGATCTTTTCCCTAGGCATTATATTAAAGCACCACTACCCTCACTTCAGTTAACAGCCCAGAGTGAAAATACGTGTTTTCTACTAGTTGCAAGTGATCAAACATTTCCTACAGACCTTCCATTTCCACACTACACAAAGGAGTTGGGAGTGACCTCTCGGACTTTCTAAAACTTCCTGGTGTACTCTTAATATTTTTGTGACTTTTTTTAACTGTTTATTTTTAGTTTTGTCCCAGAGTCAAATTGTGAGAATTAACAAAAAATCACCCCTTCTTCTTATCACAGACTCCTAAACTCTCTCTCTCACACACATACACACACACACACACACACACACAGAGGTTGGCATTTGGCACATGCTACAGTGGAGTAGATCTGCTGCAGAAGTTGTCAGCTATTGCTTATATTCTCTTACAAGATTTAGAGAAGCATTGTCAAGGGAGAACAATGGAGGGTTTCCTAGGCTTAATAGCTCTTTGAAATGCTACAGGCTGACAATAATGTTTAGGGACCAAAGGACCACAAATGGCAGGGTGAGGAGGCAGGCAGTAATGAGCACAGGCAGAAGAAAACTGTGAGATTTCCAAAGAGCACAACTGTCTCTCTTTTACTGGTGTTGTTGTTTTCTCCAAGAGCCCAAGACTATCTATTCTGGAGAACCAGTTAAAAACATTGAGAAATAGAAGATAATTGGCAATGCCAACCCCCAAACAGATGTGATAAAAAAAAAAGATATCCTCTCTCCTTAAAACCACTTTAGCTACAAAATCAGAGAGGCTTTTCAAAACAGGTTTTCAGATCTGCTGACTTGATAGAGCATTTGGAAAAAGAGTCTAAGGCTAAAGGAAGGAGCCAGCATTTGGCTTCTTAGACTACAAATTTATGTCCTCTGTCTGTCTCTCTGTCTGTCTGTCTCTCTCTCTCTGTCTCTGTCTATCTGTCTCTCTCTCTCTCTCTTTCTCTCTCTCATTCTCTTTCAACACTTTCTTGCAAGACTTTTGTTTCTATAACATTCCACACTTGCATAAAATATATTTTAGCCCGAGTTTTAGAATTCTTTCAAAAAGGAGGGGGGGAGGCTTTCCTGAAATAAACAATGACATGAGAAGAACCCTTACTATACAAAATATTTAAAGCAAAGCCCTTTTTATTTATTGGCTTGTTTTGGAGTCTCCTGCCAAACTGAAGTCTGCACAGAGACTTTGAGTCGGAATAACTCTCAGCTTCAGAAATGTCAATAGTGATCATATTTAGCCTTCCCATCAAATTGTTCCCCTAAGAAAAACTACACCCCAACCATGGTGGCCAGAACTAGATGGTGCTGCTGTTCTTCCCATTAGAAGTTAAAAAAAAAAATCCTAGAGGTAGAGGCAAGGATAAGAATATCAGGAAATAAATGAACCATTTTTGGATAAATTGCAAGTTATGTACAGTGGGATGGAGGTTGAGGGAGAAGGAAATAGTGTGAAGTAAAAATATGCCTCTGTATGGTTTTTTCTCCTCACCCTTGTGACTTTTTTTTTTTTTTAAAAATCAGTATTTTTGTAATACTTGAATTATCTTCCTTTAAAGCAAGCATCTTCTTAATGAAAAGTGTAACTACCTATATTCATGGTAAAAAATTCTTTCTTGGAACTCTTGTGTCCCCTTAATAAAACCCTCTTTCAAAAAGCTAACTTTAAAGCCTATATCAGAGGTTTTGCTCTTTTTTTGGTGTTATGGATCCTTTTGGCAGCTCAGTGAAACCTATGGGCCCCTTTTCAGAATAATATTTTTAAGTGAATAAAATAAAATACATAGGATTACAAAGGAAGTCAATTATATTAAAATATAGTTATCAAAAATGTTTTACAAAGCAAGTTTGTGGACTCAAGGTTAAAAACCCTTCAGCTATTTACACACACACACGTGCACACACACACACTCAATATACATTGTGGAATCATGCATCAACTAAAATTGTCTCCACTATTGGGGAGAGGAGTGGCAGAGCATCACACCTGCAATTTCATATGTATAAGGAATTCAAATGAGCAAATTTCCTCTAGGATCATCATCTACTCTGCAACTTCCATGGTTTTTTTGTTTTTGTTTTTGTTTTTGTTTGCTTTTTGGTGAGGTGATCGGGGTTGAGTGACTTGCCTAGGATCACACAGCTAGTTAAGTGTTAAGTGTCTGAGGCTGGATTTGAACTCAGGTCCTCCTGACTCCAAGGCCAGAGCTCTATTCACTGTGCCACTAGCTGACCCTTGCAACTTTCATGCTTAAACAAGTTGCCTGTGGCATTAAGAGATTAAGTGACTTGCCCAGGCTCACACAGCCAGTATATGGCACAGGCAAGTCTTGAATAAAGGTTTTCTGATGCCAAAGCCAGCTCTCTATCTTTTGTGCCACACTGCCTCTTCAACTACAAGAATCTTTTTTTAAAATTATGTTGCTTCTTTTCCAATCCAATATTTAAATATAATAGTATATAAACAAATCAGCCACCTTGCCAGGGTGGATAACTCCCCATTTGTTAAAGACTCCTCTCAGATCACACAATATTGTTGATATTGCTGATATAGTGTCTCTTGTTCTTGCTATTTTCAAAGCATTTTCAGGGACCCCGACACTCCTCTAGGGCACCTAGAAGTTGTTTCCCATGTGGAAAGGACTGGTGTTTATGATACATTGTGTAAAGTTAAGAAGGTCCTTGAATTCTGAGGGAGAACACTGTTGCTGTAACTTACAATGAGAAAGTCTGATGTTTGCATTTACTGTTAAAACTTAATGTCTCTCTTCCTTGTCAGAAATGTCACATCATGTTTTAGGTTGCTTTGCAACAATGTGCAAGCAATTGTTTAATAGATAAAAACATATTGGGGGAAAATAAACTTTTTTGTTTTGTTTTGTTTTCTGTTTGCAAATGCCTTGGTAATTTTCTGATGAATCAGTGAGCACTGGAAATACACCAAGAAACTGGATAATATGTTGAGATGTTCAAGATAATGAACATAAATGTGAGGTGAGAAAGGAAATAAATGCTGGACAACAAGGGGACTTTGCTCTGCATTGGAGATGCAATCGATCGACCCAGAAGCATTTGTTGAGTACCTACTATGTTCTTAGCTCTCTCTAAATTACGGATAAGGTAGGTTACACCAGAAATATAAGGCATGATCCCCATGATAGTGAATCTTTTGGTTTATTTGGACAGATAAAACTTATAGGACATAGTAACTACTGGATAACACAACACAGCAGCATGATTTAATGACTAGAGGGCTGGCCATGGAATCGGAACATTCTGGGTTCAAGTTTTGCCTCTAACACATACTAGCTCTGTGACTATGGACAAATTCTCCCAGTGCCACAGACAGCTTTCTAAGGCCATAAACTAAAGACAAGGTGCCAATCTGCATCAGTACCAAGAGTTTCCACATCAGGGAGGTCCTTAATAGATGAAATCATAGATTAGGACAAAAAAAGTTCAAATTAGACACTGAAGATTGAGTCATTAAATTGTATGGTTGTGACTAGGCATTTTAGGAAGGGAGACAGCAAAAGTGAACAGGTTAGGAAAGGAAGGCTTGTAATGGAAACATAGTTTTTGAGGTGGATGAACCTAGCAATTTTACAAACAGAGAAATTGAGGCTAAAAGAGGTGAAATGCCTTGCCAAGGATTTTACAGGTACTGTGCCAGTAGCAGAAGAAGGATATGAGCTCAATTCCTCATTGGATATGCTACAGTAGAAAGAAGCCTGGCTTTGGAGTCAGAGGTCCTGGGTTCAAATTCTACTTCTGGCACACACTTAACTATCTACTTGACTTGGGATATGTCATTTCACCCCAATTTCCTGATCTATAAAATGAGGTTTTTTCCAGATATAAATCTATAGTCACATCCCAGATCCATTATTTCACAATGTCTCTCAGTGTTGCATCATGAAGACATGGGACTTGAGATAGGATTCAAAGAATGGGTGTGATTTGGGAAGAAAGAGAAGGGTGGGCAAGCAGGTACTAGGTGAGAACTGGAGAGAATCACATTGAGAAAATACTGGCCTTGCCTATGTTGTGGTGGAAGAATTAACTTCATCTCAAAGTGGCTGGGAATAATCACTGTAATCTTACAATGTTCAATGATAACCTTCCTCCCTAAGAGTAGGATGGGGGGAGGGGCAGCTAGGTGGCACAATGGATAGAGCACCAGCCCTGGAGTCAGGAGGACCTGAGTTCAAATTCGACCTCAGACACTTGATACTTACGAGCTGTGTGACCCTGGGCAAGTCACTTAGCCCCATTACCTCACCAAAAAAAAATAAACAAAAAAAAGATAGTCACACTGTTGATGAAGCAGTGAGATTATCCAACCATGTCGGGATACAGTTATCCCTTCTACATTGTAACTTTCCCCATCACAGTTTTGATATATTGCAGGTTGGCCTAAGAAATTGAATGGGAATTTGGGGGGAGTTTTGTGGAAGCCAAAGACACCATATGAAGACTAGCAGACAACACAGAAAATGTTTAGAAATGCAGAAATGCATAATATATATGTAATATATTGTACAATATCAACATATTTTATCTTTTAATGCCATAATAATTCAGAATTCTTCTCTGATATTAAAAGAGGGCCAAGAAATTTTATGTGGCTTTTCCAGATCACAGGGGTACCACACCCCTAACCCCCATGATGTAGAAAGGAAAGAGAATCAGATAAGTGGTCGACTATGAGGTAGCCTTAATTATCAATCTAAGAAGTTTGGACTTTATCCTATAAGCATTAGGGAGCCATTGGAAGATTTAGAGTAGGGCAATGACACATAAAAAGGTGGTATATGAAGATGAATCTGTCATGGATATGTTGAATGGATCAGAGGTCAAAGAAACCAGAAAGGAGAATATTATAATATCATGGCATGCAGTGGAAAGAGCCTGGGTTAGGATGGGGACAATAGGGATGGACAGAAAGAGACAGATATGAAATTCAGGCAAAAGAAGATTCAGAGGATGTGGTGAGGAGGAAGAAGTAATCGATCATGACTCTGAAGTTTTGAGCTACGGTAACTACGGAAGAATAGTGCAATTGGTAGAAACAGAGAAAGCCAGAGAAATAGCTGGTATGGGGAGAAAGATAATTAAACATGTTAAGTCTGCAACGACATTGGGTTATCAAGGTGGAGAAGACCAGTGGGAAGGTAGAGTTGTGGGACTGAAGCACAGCGTGCTAGCCAGGTGTGGGAATTTTAAGCAACGTAGACAAACCCTTACATTTAGTTTCTCTAACTATATAGTTACAGTGTATAAATTGATTTTTAATTGTTTGTTGATATATTTTGTTTTCCTATCATGTTCATTTCTGTCTATATCCTTCTTCCTCTCCTATCCAGTGATCCATCCCTTATAATAAATATTTTTTTAAATAAAGAGAAAAATAGTTTAGAAAAAACCAACACTTCAGACAAGTCTGAACATATATGCACTATTCCATACCCATAGTCCTCCACATTTGCAAAGAAGGGTGGTGAGTACATTTTCCCTATTCTTTTCAAACACCAAGCTTCTTGGTCATTATAATTACACAGAATCCAGATTGTTTGTCATTGTTGTTGTTATTTCCATTTACATCATTATGCAAATTTACATATTCACGCAAAAAGGGAAAAAGGTTTATGCTCTTCTCATCAGTGATATCTCCATATACCTGCTTTGGCCTGATGCAGGGAAGCAAAGTCCCAGACATAGATACTGTAGCTGAATCCCAGGAAACCAGCTTGGTGTAGGCAACCAGATGGCTCAGCATGGTCCATGGTAATTAGAGAGGGCTATTGGATTTTTTGCCAAGGCAGAGCTAGAATTCTCTCTCTTATTCTCTCTCTCTCTCTCTCACTCTTACTCTTTCTCTCTCTCTCTGTTCCTCTGTGTGTGTGTGTGTGTGTGTGTGTGTGTGTGTGTGTGTGTGTGTGTGTTTTCAATGAATGCACCTGTTCTAGGGTAAACAGATACAGCTAAGGAGAATTCTCATGGATATTCATCAGTATTTCTGTCTCCATATGCATGGACCATCTCTGGCTAAAAAGGCCCTGGTTTAACTGGCCCACCTTACACAAGTTACAGGTCCAGACTGAAAACAGATTTTGGAGTAATTTAGAGACAAATCATCCTGTGAACACAGCCCAATTCAATTAGGTTATAAGTTCCATGTGATGATAAAATATGAATGTGGGAGATTTGCTAAATTAAGAGAAAAATATTTAGCTCCAACCTAATCTTGGATCTAAGATTTTAATTGAAATGGGTATGATGGTGCTAGTGTTTAGAATACCTTCTGGTGGAAAATTAAGAAATTAAAATTAATCATCCATGATGATTAATAAATGAAAAAATGGCAACCACAGATCAGCAAGCTTAAGAAAGAACTGGCAGAGCACTTCTGAAAGTTGATCTAAAAAAGAAAATAGCTAAGGCAATCATTAGCCAGGCTCAAAATTAAGAGGGTCAGAGTCTGTCTTACTGTCAACCATGTCTAATGTTAATTGCCACCACATGTTCCCAAACATAAGCAGGTAATCATAACAGGAATGAGTTCAAGGAATGGAGCAGAAGACCTTCAGGCTTGGGAGAAAGGATTATGGTTTACCATTTTTTTCCTCCTCCCCTTTCACCTCCTCTCCCCTCCCGTCCTCTCTCCTCTTCTCTCCCCTTCTTTCCTCTTTTGGTAAGATTGGAAATCCCTATCTTACCCCAGGCTGGAAATTCAGCAACTACTCACAGGTCAATTCCAATACTGAGAAGCCCAAAAACTTTTAACATGCTTCATTTTTTTTTTTCAATGTGGACTGATTTATCCCTTCTTAGGCAGCATAGTGGCCCTTCATTTCTGGGGGTTTACCTTGGTATCAGACTTGGTGCAGACAACCAATCACCTTTAGCCCTACTATAATTAAGACCTCCCATACCCAAGTGATTCACCAGCCTCAGCTTCCCCAGCAACAGGGAGTGCCCATTTTACAAATGTGTGCCACTGCTTTGCCATTTTTTAAGCTGGCTTCTCAGAAAATGATAGTTATTCCTTAATCACAAATTAGATGTTTTTAAAAGTTGTTAGAGCAGGAGAAGCAATGTGGGATAGTAGA